TTTCTCGACTTTCTATACTGTTGCTTTAGTTTGTCCATTTTGCTTAGAGTTTCTCGAGAAGATCAAATGACTCACCAGAGTAACCAATCTTTTCATGGCAGCTAAAAAAAGTAAAATGCTGGCATTGCTAAATGACAATAAAGATTAAATGGTTAATGGAATAAAAGTATTAATTGGTTTTAACTGCTCTGAAGAAAAGCTGTGCTTTTAAGAATTTCATTCCTTTCTATAATTAAACATTAAAATTTAAATACTGAATAGAAACACTGCTGGGTTTTCAGGAACATTCTTCTGCTCTACTCCATTGCTGAGAGTTTAAAATTTCTGTGTGCAGGGAAGATAAATATTTGACTATTTAATATGTACACAATATTGCAAAACTTACAGTGAGAGTGAAATTATATAACTGTGAAGATGGACAGAATTACCAGGGGTCAACTAATTCATCTGTAGCAAAATTTTACCTAGACACCCACAAAAAAAATTTTAATTATCTATGTCACTTTTTAAAAGTAAAATGTCTCCATAATTTTCAACTTGGTAAACTTCTTCTGCAAGTCATTTGGAAGAAAGATTTGCATTTCAAAGTCACTTCCTCATAGACAGCCAGGTTTGAGACTTTTAAGCAAGAAAAAGAGGGTATGAACTAATAGTTATATGTTGGGAACTTCCTTCCAGAAAATTCTTCCAGGGCACTACATGATAGGGATGTTTCTTCCTTAAAGGCAGCTATGAGAACCATGAATAGTAAAACGCCTCATTTGGAGTTCAGTTTCCTCTGAAAACATACATTCATGTGATCTCTAGTTATTCCATACTTATTAAAATACACAGAGATAAGATTAACAGTACTGTTATGTCAATTGATTCTAGATGTGAGTGGTGACATGGGATAAAGAGGGAGAGACAATACTCTCTTCAGTTCCCTAGCGGGATGTAATTTGAAAAAGAGCCATTTAGGGGAAAAAACTAGAATTTTTAGGTTCTTCATGCATTAAAATATATTGACCACCTACAATATGCTGGCTGTCTCATATGGAGGAATCCCCAAGACCACCATCCAGCTCAATGACTTTCTAGAAGACTTACAAGACTTGGAAAAGGACATTAATCTCACAGTGTGATTCACTACAGTGAGAGATACAGATTAAAATCAGCAAAAGGAAAAGGCACAAGAGATGAAGGCCAGGAGAGACTACGCACAAAGTTCCAGGGCCCCTGTCATTAGTGTTTCATGAGGGCACACATAACTAAATAATGTGACAATACATGAAATGCTGTCAACCAGAGAAGCTTTCCCATGCCTTGGTATCCAAAGTATTATGGGACCTCTGTCAGATAGACATGCAACACCCCCAGGATTGACCTCAGCTACTCAGCCTCCAACCTCCAGGCTCCATCAGAGAAAAAGCCCGACGTTACATGATTGGGATAAATTTGTCTGGTCCAAACAGTAGAGCATGATTCAAGGTCTCAGACTTACAGAAACAGGCAGAGTATTCCCAAGGCTCAGCGGTTACATCCCAGAAGCCAGCCAAGGATTTATCCTGAAAATGGACCTTCCTTTGGAATGGGTTGGGTTTGAGTAATCCAGGCCTGTAAATTAACTCGTTATCTCCTTCATGGCTCCATATGTCTTCCCAGTAGCATGTACCACAGTAAGTGTGTGATGATTCTTTGATCAATGCTTTTCTTTCCTCACTATTTAAAAAGCCTTAGAGTCAATGGGCCATGTATATTTTCCCCTCCTATTCACCTCCAGGCCCAAAACAGTGCCTGGCTTATAGTACCTACTTGAAATTATATATAATAAATGTATATGATAGGCTAAGGCATGATGGTTGGCATTTATTTCCTAGTCTTTGGGATCTTACACTGTTAGAATTTCCCTTACATCACAATGCCAAAAATAAAAACAAACAAAACTCTGGAAACAAGTGTGTCAAACCTATTTAACTCTTAGAATTTTTATGAGACTCTAGACTATTCCTCAGAGCTAGAAGAAACCTTAGAGATTATATTCTTCAATATTTTATTTGCGAAAAGCGAAAACATCGATTTGTACAAATACTTTTTAAAGTATGAAGAGTATTAATATTTGTCATTTTCTACACATATCAATAGAATTCTAGTTGGAGTCAGGACAAGCCTACATCATTCATATTTTCACTTTTTCACAAAACAAATGCAGTTGAGGAATGTGCACGTTGGTGACAAGGGAATTAGGAGATTCAAATATAGCTAACACTTCTGTTTTATCTCTTCCCAAGTTAAAAGTTAAAGAAAGAATCCCTTCAGGTTTTTTGCCCTTTTTGTCATAGTCTTTCTTTCTAACCTTCAGCTTTATATATCACAATCCTTAAAAAACTGTACAAATACGGCTTCTAATGTGTTCTCATTTGTTTCCTACATGTCATCTCCCACTCCTCTTTAATGAAACAGTATCCTGTGGCGAGAGTTCTGTAGGCCTGTGATTCTCAGACTATCATGTGCACATGAATCACCTGGAGACTTGTTAAAATATGGATTCAGACTGGGAAGTCTGGACAAGCTCCCCAGGATGCAGATACTACTGGTCTGTGGACCACTCTTTGAGGAACAAGTCAAAAGCCATCTACATTGTTTCATTTTTCTTCTTTACTCTTTGCTGGCTACCACAAAGCTGTTTAGACAGATATGAAAAAATCTCCATATCTATTCCCTAAGATCCCCCCAAAAGAACAAGTTTTAAACAATAACCAGGGAGCAGGGGGCAGCAGGAGGCTCCCCCCAAAATAAATAAATAAATAAACAGGGAAATCTAACCAGCCTATTCCAACATGACTGACAAAAGTCATAAACATGACCTTCAGGTTGGCTTGGGTGCAAACGGTGAAGAAAGAGCGTCTTTGACATAGAGTTTCTTTGCTTTTTATGCCAGTATTTCAAATTCCTTATTTCTTGATCAAAGAATGAAGTTTATAGTGATTTTTTTTTTTTTCGGAGACTGAAATAAACCCTCCTGTAAGCATTCACAGTTCTCCACAGGGTAGAGTCAAGTGCCAGGAAGTGGACAAGCATTAGAGCTTTACATCTCAATGACTGAGTATGAAATAACATCTTGTGTCTTCATTATTTCATTTCCAAAGGCTAATAAATGGCATTTTTCAGATAACAATGAACAAAATTCATCCTCAAACAAGATGCACTCACTACTTATCAATGGTTTTGCTGCTACTGCTTCTTACTCCTCTGAATCAACAAAGAAAGCTAATTTGTTTCACTTTGTGAAAACTCTTCATTTTTTCCCCAGACTTTCCATTTCACGCTGTGTGAATTTTATTAAGATCTCTTTCAGAGAAGCTAAGTGCTGGCTCTATGGGGCCCTCAGGGATCGCAGTTGCAGCCTCTGTAATGTCTGAAGCCTCTTGAGACATCTCTTTTCTATTTAAAACTCCTTGGAGAATCATAGAGAAGACTCTAAACTCTTTTTGGTGCTTGAAGAACTAGTTTGTCCTCATGAATATTTTGATGTTATAACCTGCAAACCTTTTGATGTTATAACCTGAAAACCAACAACATAGAAATTCAGTTAATGTCTAGTATCTGAATATTAACATCATATTGAGATTGTGTAGGTATTTCTGAAGGGCTTCAATTCTTCTTAAAAACTGGCTTAAAATATTAATTTTAAATGTTTTTCATTTTAGAATTTGTGTCTGTTAATAAAACTTACTTGTAATTCTGTCAACTAACAATTTGTCAGTGGGTTTTTTCCAATAAAAATAATGTTTTTAAAAAGTAATTATAATTAAATAATTTTAAAATAATTTAGATTCTAGTTTTTTTCTGGATTTACATTTTAATAGTTTTAATGCTATTATGTGCTCTCAGAAGTGACATAGAGCTGCATAATACTTTGTCAATAATATTACTATCATAACAGTAGATAAAATACTGTAATTAATCCAGTCATTTCTCTATGGTAAATATTTAGTTACAGAATTTCTCTATGATAAAATTAGTAATAGCTAACATTTTTGAACATTCAATATGTGCAAAGCAACTCTAAGTATTTTTTGATTCAACTCTTAACCTTTATAAGGATTGTATGGGTTGTATCTAATCATTATTCCATTATTCATATTTTGGAGATGTAGAGGCAAGTTGAACCCTTTGCCCAAGATCATACTGCTGGTGAAGTGGCAGGCCAAAGTTCAAGCCAAATATTCTCATATTCAAATAGTCCCTTTTGTGCTATGTTGTACCCCAGGCTACACCAAGATTTACTTAAGAATTACTCGGTTTAAAGAAAAGATTCAAGTCGGGCTCGGTGGCTCAGCCTGTAATCCCACGCCTTTGGGAGGCTGAGGTGAGTGGATTGCCTGAGCCCGCGGGTTCG